TTTCCTTCTTTTTGAAAAATTAATTAGGGAAACACAATCTCATAGGTGGAACGAAGGCTAGTCAATTAGCCAGTTAGCTATAATTATTCCCTTGTGTTCAGAGTAGAACATAGGACTTCAACAATACATCTACACTTTCTTATATTTTCTGCTGTCCTCTTCGGCAGGCTGACTAGCTCCACAATTGTCAATAACCTCTCATCTACTTCTCCTCCTCCCCACACAATCTCTTCCATATAAACCTCACACTGACGACCCATTCGTCGCTTCCTATGTGGGATTCCACTCGAACAATAGCCTGCATTGCGCGCGATGTCATTGATGGCCTCCTCAACGTATGCCCAATCCATCCATCTCCATTTTTTCCTACATAATTATTGATGAATAGGTTTTTGGATGGTTGGTTTGTTCCCAGGTAGAGTTTCTTGTCGCTCATTCCAACCAACAACAACAGCAGCAACATCCAGCGCCAATCACCATCAACGGGATGGATTTGAAAGAGGTTACTTCATTCACTTATCTAGCGAGCATTGCCTCAACTACAGGAGGAACGGACGAGGATGTCAAATTGAGAATCGGGAAGGTGAGAAACACATTCATCAACCTGAAACCAATCTGGAAATCCTCGTCACTCAGCATCAACAACAAAATTCGGATTTTCAATACAAACGTCAAGTCAGTCAGTTCTTATATACGGATCAGAAACTTGGCGGGTCACAAAGAATATTTCCAACAGCCTGTTGCAGACTTTTATCAACAGCTGTCTTCGTTCTTTACTGAAGATCAGGTGGCCACCGGAAAGAATCACCAACATGAAACTATGGGAACAAACAAAACAAGAACCAATCGCTCAACAAATATGCAGGAGGAAGTGGAGATGGATTGGACACTCGCTGAGGAGGCCGCTGGGTGACATCACGCGTCAGGCCAGTGCTCCAGTGGAACCCGAAAGGGAAGCGGCGAGTGGGACGTCAGTGCAAGGGTGAGATGGAGGAGATCGTGTGAAGAAGAGTGGAAACAGTATGGACTAACATGGATAGGGGTGAAAAGTATAGCAGAAGAGAGGAGCAAGTGGAGACGTGTAGTTGAAGCCCTAAGTTCCACTAGGAACCCAAGGGAACAATACAATAATAATTACTTCTGGCCGTCCGGCAGGCCATTTGATCTTCATTATGGAGCAGTGAAGTGGGCAGTTGTTGATAAGTTTGTTACTCCTTGGAAATGCATTTTCGTGACGCGCAATGCAAGTTTCTGACCTACAGAGAAGAACTGACTGACTTGACATTTGTGTTGAATAGAATCCGAATCTTGTTCTTTATGCTGACTGAGTGCAGTGCAGAAGATTTCTAAACCGGTTTCAGATTGATGAAGGCGTATCTTGCCTTTCCGATTCTGGCCTGCTTTGACATGTTCATCCGTTCCAACTGCCTGTAGTTGAAACGATGCTTCTGGGATAAGTGAGGGAAGTAACCTCTGTTAAATCTCTCCCGTTGATGGTGATTGGCACTGGTTGTAGTTGTTGCTGTTGGTTGGTTGGTTATCTTCATCACCTCCGTTTTTTTTATGTTCACCTGCAGTCCTGTCTTCACTTCCTGCTTTTCCGGCCAGTTTGTTGCTTTTCGCCTGTAGGTCTTCGAGTTTGTGCGACGTTAAACAGAAATCATCCGTGCCCGAAATCCAGATCTTCTAGAGTCTTCTTATTAGTCCAACATAATCTTATCTTGTTAGTTAGATAAGACCCGGAAGAAAATTGTCCATTTATTATACGATGAGTGATACTTACTACCATACCGTCTAGTTTAAATTAGGTGGAATTCGGAGTGTTATTGGCTTATAATTCCGAGTCTAGTGCTCACTGGTGACTGATTCTACAATATGAAGTTATCTGGAAGTCGTGATCACAAACCAAGGGGGAAGGGAGTTCCACCAAACTGGACAAAAGGACAAATACTTGCCGATGATATATTGGCTGGCAGTGACGCTGTTTTATAGCTAATTAGTAAAGGTTAGAATTTGCTATTAGTAGTGTTCTCTGAGCTACTTGGTTTAATTGCGAATCATTCGTCGTCCACCTTCTTGACAACATCTTCAGGCAAACTTTAGCATAAAGTGAGATGCCCACTAGCGACTTGCCCTATTCAGATAGGGATTCTAATGAGAAGTCGTGACCAGCAGGGTGCAGCAGGGTCGGGTGTGAGGACAAGTACTCGCCGAAGACATTGGCTAGTGGTCACACTATGTCACGAATTGGCAGAAGTTAGAATTCATCGGCCATTGGATCGGGTCTCAGTGGCTTAATGATCTACGCGCTCGCTAGCCTTGTAACCAGAAGGTCCTGGGTTCGAACCCTTCCGGTGGGTGCGCACTGCTGAAGAGTCCCAAACTAGGCTGACGAAACAGCTGGCTGTTCAGTACTGCCAGGTTTTCTAATGGTTCTCTAACCAATGTCAGCTCATGATGAAATCCTGTAACCAATCAAATCCCTACAAACCAACACTTGAACTGATATAAATTTTCTATGAATGGCAGAATTGCGTCTCCTGGTAACCATCTTTACATATGTATTGATCATTTTCTATTGACTTGGACTCTAAACTTTCTCGTCACATGATTTACTTTTTACGCCCACAATGGCCGATGTAATGTCTGTCACAGTTCGTACAATTTATTTTGTAAATGATATTAATTTTATCTTCTTTTTCTGTTGGATCGTTTGGTTTGGGCGTCCCCTTCGAATCCGAATACAAGAACACAAATTAGCTGTAAAAAGGCATGCTATGTATTCCAGTTTCATATCAATACATGTAGATAATTATGGACATCAGTTTGATTGGAATAATGTCAAAATTTTGACAGAAAAAACACCAGAAGTGTCAGGGAATTCCTAGTAGCCTGGTACTCAAACGAATATGCAATTAACAAACACGTTAATATAGACCGGATATACCAACTAATAAGAAATAAATCACGTGACGAGTAAGTTTAAAATCCAAGTCAATACATATGTAAAGATGGTTACCGGGAGACGCAATTCCATCACTCATGAAGAAATTTAAATCAGTTCAGTTTATGTTAAAAATTGCACTGAAAGGGTATGTTGCCCAGAAGGGGGAACGACGAAAGCTCTGCAACTAAACCAACCAGCTCCTCCGAGAACACTACTAATTGCAAATCATCTACCTGAGCTACAAATCTTCTTTATTATTTCAAAAGGTTAGAATTCATGGGCCATCAGATTCCCTCCCAGTGGTTGAATAGTCAGCCAAGTTGTCTTGTAACCAAAACGCCCCATGTTCAATCCTGGAGAGATTGATTCAGGAAAAGCCAATCATGTGCTTGCGTCGGTGGCATAGCGGTTAGGACGCACGGCAACAATGCACATGGTCCGGGGTTCGATCCCCGGCCACCGACGCACTCCTTTACCTCGCTAAGCCAGAAATAATCCTGCTGAAGAGGAAAGGTTGGGCATGAGGCTAGCAACCCCATCCTGTAAAATAAACACTGCTACAGAAACTTCAACCCACTAGCTTGAAGCCCTATGTTCCACTGGGGAACGTGAAGGAAAAAAAAATCATGTACTGACCAAATTCCAACACTACGCGTCATCATCGAACTGAGGATAGAATAGCAATCAAATGTCTACCTCAATTCTATCAACTTTGAAAAGGCCAGCGATGACATTGACCACGAAGTAATTTGGCAACTGATTCAACACTACGTAAATCAACGGTTATATGCTGATGACACATACCAAATGATGCACAACGGAAAGCTCTGCGAAGGGTTTGAAGTGAGGACAGGAGAAGAACAAAGCTGCTCTCCGGATGGGATTCGAATGGGAAAAAGATGAGTTCCGTTTGTGAGAGTGATAGAGGAAATGAAAGTTTATGGGCAATCGGAGAGATAGCTAAAAGAAAGATTGCAGAGAACAGTGCGAAGTCCAAGCGGAAACCCTGGCAGTAACAAGATAATGTAATTCAGAATAGATACTGACATGAAATCAGAACATCAGTGTTTCAGTCCTCTTCAGAGTAAACTTCATCCAGTTTGCATCTAACATTGTGTGATGATACTACGTGTCAATAAGCACAAAAATCTAGAAATACAACTTGCTCAAAAATGTCATCAACCATTCAACATCAAAACCAACCACACCACTGTGATGAGCCTTTCTCCTTGGAGCTTGGTTAACAACTGGATGATAGGTTAATACTGCGGTGAGAGCTGTCTGTGAGCCGAAATTGTAAACAACAATTCACGTCAACGTTCACGTCCTGAATCGAGGTCATGAGAGAAAGCAAGAACAAAGCCCAAACTTGAGGAACTCACCAACCAATCACAAAGCACACTTAATCTGTGCAAATACGATTCGCAGATATATGGCTTGACTTTCTGAGAAACGGTCAGTCACAAGCAGTACAGGATAACCTTCAGCAGGAAAACAACCAATCAGAAGAGGTTACTTCTTCGCTAACAACAACGCTAATAATACTGTACATAAAAATCTATAAATATCTCTTGATTTTCTCATCAAACGATCTGTTGCCTGGCTCTTGTCTTCTGTCATTACGCTACTAATATCAGTAATAAGGACTATAGTGACATATCATATTAGTTGTACCTAAGCAACAGAACGTGTAGGCGATTCAATGCTAAAATGATCGCGCCAGCCACGTCAGAGGTCAGCGGTTTCATACCCGACCGACAACAACGCCTAAACCTCGCCTGTAAGTCTAGTAAAGAGGAAAGTTCGGGTGCGAGTGTGGCAACCCTATCCACTATTGACTGAGACTTCTAAACGCAAGGCTTGCAGTCCTATGTGTCCAATCGGAACGTAATGGGATGAAATAATTAGTAGTGTAAGGGAGAGAACAATGTACTTAAAAATACTTTGGAAAAAGATAGAAATTCACCAGCTACCTTGTATACACACACACACGCACACATACACACATACATCAGCTAAATTTCCCAATTCACTGAATCCATCCCGGACTTACCTGTTGTGATGACTTATTCATTGAGGCTTCCACAGTCAGATGAACTTTTTCGTCACTCGAAACAAAAAATGCTCTAACCTAGAAAAAAGAAAACAGAAAGGAAGAAAAGAAAAACCATCAAGGTATATGTAACAATATCTGTCAAATGATTACATAATGATAGAGAATAACTAAATGCAGAAAAGATTTGACATTAGAAGATCCCCAGCCTCAATGTATCCACACCAGCATGAATGATTTTAAGTCATCTCAATCAATAATTCCCGATCTCAGCGTCTCAACAACCAACCCAGCCATACAAATATATATATATATATATATATATATATATATATATAGCCTCCTTACATGACTGAAATCGACAATTCAATACTCCATAGTGTTGATCCCACGTTTTAGTTTTTCACCCCCCCACCCAAACTAATTCTTTGTCAACTCGATGTGTCAACTACATGTGTAACACACATCTCCCAGCCATCCTAATCGACTCGTCTGAACAACCTCATTGACTCACTTTGCCCCCTTACCTGACACTCGATGTATAACTTGAATATTAGTCACTCAGTCATGCCTTCTAACATGGTAGACAGAACACAGACACCTACGATTAAAGACAGATAGCTAGCATTTTCATGTCTTTCTTATGTCTCAAGCCTATAAAGGAGGACACAGAGAACTGCTGAGCAGCACACACTCCCTTTGATCGATAACCACTCGGATATCACAACTACGCAAGAGATGACTAACTGACTGGTTTCAACATAGTTAGAACTTTGCACCGATGTGCACCAGTTCAAGTCGCCACACTTCACTTAGGACACAAAGCCAAAAAAGAAGAAAGTACAAACAAATGCAAAACAGAGAGAATAAACAGGGATATGAGGGAAAAAGAATAGTAATATCGAAGAACAATACAGTTTTATTGGATATTATTAGTCATAATGAGTGGATGCATCTGCGCATTCACTGATGCCGATTTTGAGCAATATCACCGATTGTTTCCAGCCATTGGTTTTTACCGTCCCGAGGACCCCAACCAGTCACTAAGTTTACACCCCCCCTACTTGGCTGGCTGGCTTAAAATAACTGTTGTGGATTTCAGTGACTGATGAAGCAATGTTTTGGTTTGACCACCAGCCACCAGCTCTTTTCAAACCTGACCCCATGTCAGCTAACATTACCTGTCGTCGAGGAAGGCGACGACTAAGCCAGGCATGTGTAACACATGTCCTAACCATCTCAGTCGATTTAACTTCACAGCCTCGTCTATTGATTCCCACTCTTTACACAGTAGCATTCGACGCCTGACCAACTCAATATTAATTACTCACCCTAATATACTATACAACCTAACACGGGAGATAGAACGCAGACAGCTAGCCAGGCTTTTCATGTCTCCCACTCTCCATGGTCACATCATATCTCACAGCCATAAAGGAGGACGCAGTGGACTGTTGAGCAGTACACACGCCCTTTGGTCGATAGCCGTCAGAGACGATAATGACTGGCATATACGGAACGAGCCTTTTGTATCTGTGCTGAGATTTCGTCAGCGATCAACCCGCTGGCGTTGGCTGATGCAAATTCCTAAATAAGTGAAACGATCAGAATTCTCTACCATTTCACTCAGTGTCTTAAAGCTAGAAGTCGATGTAGCCCAGTCCTGTAGCATCCATCACCTTACATTTGATGATTGGAGCAAATCGCATGTCCAACATTTGAAGATTTCAGCTCAAGGTATGTGCTGTTCAGGAAACTCTGCATTTTATCAGCATCCTGACACCTACCAAACAAGATGATAGAGACAGAATACAAACACCTGTGGTGAATGACGTGTACCTCATGACATCGTTCCACCGACGATGATGCATGCATTTATAACTAATTCGCTTATCACAAATGATATTATATAGACAGCAGAGAATACGACGAACAACTGTGAATGAACAAAATCCTTACAAGAAGTAGAATAATGTAGTGTTCGAAAACTCTAAGATTTAGGCATTAACATTAAAACATCAGACAGCCACTTAACAGAACAGAATCAAAAAGCACACTAAACACTTGTAAGGAAAATAAATTCTCTCCGATTTCTGTCTGTCTGTCTGGATTCAACATAGAACTTGGCACCGAAGTGCAGCATTTCGAGTTGCCACGTTCCAAATAGCACACAAAGGTAGACAAGAAAATCAGTGAAGAGAATCAATCGAGTTTTGACAAGCATAAGAGTGAAACAGAATGAGTAATGGTAGAAAGGAATATGAAAGATCACAGAGACTGAATACATCTGCGTAAGCCATTGACAACGATTTTGAGCCATGTCACCTATTGTCTCCAGCCATTGATTCTTAGAGTCCCGAGGGCCCCAACCCGGAAGTCTGCATCTCCCTACCTGACTCAGTTTAACTGTCAAGGATTTCATGGATTGATGCCATGTTTTTGTTTGGCCACCGCTTACTCTTTTCCAACCTGCACCTATATCAGCTAGTAATGCCCGTCGTGGGAGACGATGGTTAGGCATGCGCAGCACGTGACCTGGCCATCTCAATCTATGTAACTTTATAGCCTCGTTGATTGATTTTCCCTCCTTGCCCAACACTCTACGCCTAACGTCAACATTACTTACCTTATTATGCCACCTAACGTGAGAAAGAGATCGTAGACATCCATGATCAAAAACAGTCAACTTTTTCATGTCCTCAACTCGTATTGGCCATGTTTCAGAGCCATAGAGAAGGACGGAGCGAACTGCTGAGCAGTACACACGTCCCTTGGTTGATAGTCGGATGTCACGCCTACGCCAGAGATGGTGTAAGTTAGCGAAAGCAGCCCGAGCTTTTTGGATCCGTGCTGAGATTTCGTCACCAATCAATCCGTTGGTGCTGATACAACTTCACAAATAGGTGAAGTGGTCAACATGTTCTATCACTTCACTCCCTATCAGTAAGCTAGGGATAGACGTAGTCCAGTCCTGTAGCAGCATCTTACATTTTACAGGGACGAATCGCATGCCAAACATACGAAGATTGTTGTTCCTCAAGGTGTTCAGAAGACTCTGCATTTTGTCAGCATCCTCCCCTAACAGGACTATGTCATCTGCATATTCTAAGTCCATAAGACTATTCCCTGGTAACAAGTCGATTCCTAAGTCGTTAAGTTCAGTTCCATTAGAATATCTATGATGAAGTTAAACAGGAATGGGGAAAGTGGATATCCTTGATGGACACCACTGGTTGTTAACAATTCAGATGACTATTCCCCAATAGCCCTCTCCGATTCAACTTTTGTATGTATGTGTGTGTATTTCTAAAGATCAGCCTTCAAAAAATGATTATATCATCACATCATTAACACCTATGCATACCATAATGCTGTCAGTGATCCATCACGTCATCCCACGTAAACGTACATCCACTCACCGACCCACCCACCCACGCAAGCACACACACACACTCACATTATAATACATAAAGATTTCTACTACACTGCTACTGACTATTTTGTTTCCGGACATCGTTTACTCGATAAAAGAAATGAAATATGGAATTTCCAACAACTAGTAAGATGACGAAAATATTGAGTGAAAAGTAGGTGTGTTGTAAACAACAGATGTGAAGCAAGCAAAACAATTGTCTAATAAACATTTCCCTATTACCAAACACACAGACACACACACAATGAATGTAAATAACTTCACTTAGAGCATTGCCTACTATTCATATTCAGTTATCCCTTTTCTAAGGAAATAAACTAATTGACTGATGAAATCAATTATGTCCCCCACAAACCAATGCTTGAAAATTAATCTAGAGCTCACTGGTCACTGACTGACTGATTGACTCTATAGGATGCAGCTGCCTGAAATTCTACTGACAAGTCGTGATCAGTGAAGTTCAGTTCACCAGGTCGGCTGTGCGAGCACAAATACTGACTGACTGGTTTCAGTATGGATAGAACTGTTGCACAGAAGTACACCAGTTCAACTTGCCAGACTCTATGAACCACACAAACGAAGACGACAATAAGGTGAAGTGTGAGGAAGAAAGAATTGTAACACGAAAGAACATGGTCATGGAATGTCACAGACAATGAGTACATCTCTGCCAGCCATTTGCGAACCCTTTTGAGCCATATCACCAATTTTCTCTAGTCAATGGATCTTAAAATCACGACAATCTTACACCCACCCACCCCCCCCTGCTGTCAAAGATTTCATGAATTGATTCCAAGCTTCGGTCTGACTGCCACCTGATCAACCCTATATGTCACCTAACATTGTCTGTCGTCAAGGAAGCAGACGGATTGCTAGGCATGCGTAACACATACCCAAGTCCCCTCAATCGACGTAACTCTAAAACCTCGTTGATTGATTTTCTCTCCTCAACTAACACTCGACGCTTAACCGACTCAATATTACTCATCATATTATACCACCTAATATGCGAGATAGAAGGCAGGTACCCATGATCAAAGACAACTAGACAGTGTCTTCATGTCTTCCACTTTCAATGGTCATGTCTCACTCACAGCCAGGCATATAGGAGGACAGAGTGAACCACTGAGTTATAAACATTTCCTTTGATCGATTGACGCATATCACGGACAAATACTCGCAGATAACACTGGATGGTAGTCAAGCTTTATATGTCGTGATTTGGTAGAGGTTAGAATTAATAATAAGTCACTAGATTCCGTCCCAGTGATTGAATCATCAACGAACTCACCTCGTAACCTTAAGGTGTTGGAGGAGAGTCATAGATGTGTACTGGTGAAATGTCACAAACAAAGATGAGATAGTTGCTGAGTATCCACAACTGGTTTCCCATGGTTTTCTGACCGATATCGACCATGCGAAAGAATTTCGGAGGCAAAATTATTTATTTACCGCTGATTTTATTCATCTTTTTTAGGTAATAGGAGGGTGTGTGTGTATGACAGTTATTCAGAAGCGAGTTTCTAACGCCAAGAAGAAATCACATCATGATTTATAGGTATCTACAAAGTAAGACTGAATTGTGTGAGCACCATTATGTTTCAACACCTGTGTAGAGCAAAGACGCTAGCGATTCGTCAATATA